AAACCTTTTGCAAATTAACCATCGTAATTTGTATTGACTTCAAAAAGGTGGCGAATTTTGGTCAAGAGCCTTTCAACGATCCTTGTCTTAGTTTTTTAGACCCCCAGATCAAACGAGTCCTCCTTTGTCAGGATACACCTCAAGCACTTTTCAAAGAAATGTGGGAACAACGTGGTGCTTTGGGATGAACTACGCAACATCGTCTCCAGATGAAAGGCTTTTTCTTTCTTTGTTCCATTCTTGCCTTTCTCGCAACAATGGCAAATATTCTCAAGTCCATCTTTTCCAGAAGAAATGGACCAATTATTGAATTTGTTTCCATCTTCTTAGATATTGCTCAATCCTTTTGAAAACTCCTGGTGGGAGAACTGGTTTTCCTTTCAGTAAAAGAATGATTTGGCGTAAGTGGGATAATTGTTGCGATCATCAATTAATGTAATGGGACGGTCATTCAAAATGTTTTCGCGCAATATAGTGCGTAGCCCTTTGTCGTCGTTGCATTGTCTCACTCACAGCATGACTATTTTCTTCAACCCATTTAATTAGAGCAGATAGGCATCCATGTCAGTCAAGTCGAGCAGCCACCTCTACTTTTTCTGGTATACCGAAAAAGTAAATTGGGTGGTTGTTACATTAAAAAAGTCTAACTTGTAATTTGAACACAATAATTTCATGTTTCTATGAACGTAATTAAATCATGAAGGATCTGTACGAAATTCAACAACTTAATTTGTTCTTGTTGAGATGACATGATACAATCTAGTAAGAGTGGTTAGTTGCTGAACTCATGAAATTCACAAGATCGCACGAAGATTTCAAACTGCAGGAAAATCACTGGAGTTATAAGAGGCAGACAACTACACACACACCACGTGCATGCTATTGCTATTTATTGTGGATTAACCTGTCAAGGACAAAAACAAAAAAATTCTGCATCAAATACAGGAAATCATAGTCTTTCCTGTGTTTCCTAGATTGTTGGCATGGTGGTTAGTGCTGTTGCTTCACAGTAAGAAGGTCCTGGGTTCATTCTGGCTAGTTTGCAGTGTTTCTCTCTGGGTATTCTGGTTTCCTCCCACAAGTTAAAAGTCATGCAGTTATTAGGGTTAACTGGTGATTCTAAATTACCTGTGAATGTAAGTGTAAATGGTTGTTTGTTTCTATGTGATAGACTGGTCAGCTGTCCAGGGTGTACCCTGCCTTGTAACCTATCACTTCAGGGTTATTTCCCAGCCCTCCTGCAACCAGGATAAAGATAGAGGATGGTAGTTGTTGAAGACCCATTCAATTTTTATGGTAACCAGGATCTAGACTTTGTTGAACATTATGTAATATGAAGACAGACATGTAGTATTTAAGTGACCAAGTAGTATTGGGGTAAAAGTTATTGAATAGTGTTGAAATAAAATGACAAAATTGTGAAGGATTAAAATATTCCAAGAGCTCAACTTACTTCATCTGAACATGTTTCAATCGCGTTTTATGAACACAAAATGCACAGGTTTATTGAATATGAAAAAGTTGTGTTGATTTAACTCAGTTGTTTAAGTTTCTGCCAAAGCAAAACATTTGTGTGCAACCAATGTCCACTATTGAATCAAGGCAATCCAACATGGCCTGTGAGCTTCATGAACTACCTGTCCATTTAAGTCTCTCTGAAATGGAGAGTGCTGTGATCTTATGTGTGTGTATTTAAAACCTCAACTCTGCTGATACAAAAGAGACCCAAACCAGTGCAAAAGAGATTCAAAACCAGTGTTTTAATGAGTAGAATAAGCCATTTAAAGTTTCCATTTATTGAATAAACCTCAAATTTAAGTGCTTATCATGTAAAATATTGCAAAATATAGCAAATTTCCAAAAATGTACAAGTGAAGATATTGTTTTATTCAGAACACTCAGTCATGTAGGAAAACCAAAACTCTCACAAAGTTGTGACTGAAGTCCATCTTTAGTGTAAGTGTTTGGCATTTTTTCATGTGCTCAAAAAAACCACTATCAACATTTTCACAGATATCACCCTAAACACAATTAATAGTAGTTAATTTACCCACTTTCTCTTACTCTGAAGAGATAAATCAACATGATTTAACATTTGCTACTCATTCAAGTCATTTCAACGTCAAGCCTAAATGTATCATCACAGATTAAATGTTCTATGATGTTTATATGTGATGTTATTCTGTCTGTGCAGATAGCAAGAGATATTTGATTTTCATTAATTTCTCAGAGTTTGTTGCTGTATTAAAAGATGTATAACTGTCAACTTGACTCACTTGTTTTCAGACTGATATCAGATGAGCAACATTTATGGCAGGTTGGTTGGTGTACTTTACAATCTCTTTTTGCAGCAATGAATAAATAAATAACTATAAGTTTTGTCTACTTATAGAGACACTTCAGGAAAAGTCATGTGATCGTGGCATGCAAACACTAAATGTACATTAACAGAATACTGTGCTGCCTTTTCACATTTCAGTCTTATTACAGTGTCCGCGCTTTAAAAATGGACATTATGACAGTGTTCTGTTTTTAACAGTCGTACCCTAATGTAGTTTTTTGTGCGGTCCATCTGTCAGAAAGTCTTTGTCATTCTTGTTGTAACTGTTGTCCAGGTGCTGTGTTTTATCAGGTGACCAGCTGAGCTGTTCTTGTGGTACCAGCAGATCTACGTAGAGATTCTTCTGCTCTATTTCACTGTTTACCATCGTGTACCCGAGATAAGACATGGCCTCTTCACACACTTCCTGTACTCGTTTGACCGTGTTGTGTGGCAGCATGGTGCGCCAAGCCTGAGAGATGTCAGTGGCGCTTCGCGATGTGATGTCAAAAGCCTCTTTAATGGAGCCTTTGCCTTTTCCGTGGGTCACCTGGTAGATCCATGTGGCCAGCTGTGTGGTCATCTCCAGACCTACAAACTGATACAAGGATTTGATCTCCTTGACTGGGTTGCGCGTCACATCCTCGTAGCGAACCAGTTTGTAGCGGCCTTTTAGAAACGGAGGAGGCTTCAGGACCGCCCTCTTATTGATACGCAAGTGGCTTCGACAGATCTCCTGCATGACCTGATACTGTACCTTTGCTTCATTGATGGGTTTCTGCTCCAAGACGATCGCGTTATCACTCGCTAAGTATTCAGCTACCTTTTCCTTAGACCGCACCACTCCCCGTGGGTCTCGGACCAGGTGGATGATGCGGAGATTTAAGTTTGGGTCCAGCAATAGTGGGTAAAGGGATTCTAGCTCAAAGATGCGCACTTCCTTGTACACCACATGAGAGTAAAAGCCACACACCTGCTCTACAATCTTCAGGTCCCGAGGTTTACAATTCTGTTGGCAGTGTGTCTTGTTGCTGAGCTGATTACGTGGCATGAGAGGACAGACCGGGGGTGAGCACAGAGCTCGACTGTGACTCCACATAAACAACTCTTTCTGGTTCTCTGGAAGGTAGGACTCCATCACTGAGAAGTCACACTGGAACAGGCTCCGTAAGAGATCCCTCACTGCCATTCGAAGTGCCCGTGCACCATTTTGCCTCAGCTGGGTCCACACATGCCAGCCAGGCTCCATAAGATAGAAGACAGACGGGTGCTGACTGAATACCTGGCCCAGGAAGGATGAGCCTGATCTCCATGATGACAATAATAGAACGTGGACTTTGTCATTGGAGGGTTGCGGGTCATAGAGGCTGAGCTGCATGTACCAGCCGCTGACCAGCAACAATGCTGCCCCAAATAGGATCACTTGGAACTTCATGGTGTTGCGGTTCACTCTGTAGTGCAACATTATGGCTGTGAGCTGCTGTCAAGTCAGTGGTGCTTTGTGCGAATTCTTCTCTCTTCAATCTTGTCTTAAGCTGTGTCTCTTTTGCTGCATAAAAAATACACAAATAATATTAATTATTTTTTTTATAAAATACCAATTTGTTTGCAAATCCTGTCTTTGCTGGAAAACCTGGCATGCCACTGGTTGTGAACCACCTTCTTAAACGTTTTAAATCACATGATACAATTTTGTATATGGTGGAGAAACTAAACCGAAACGGCAAACATTAACCAGTGATACTTTTTGTAAGGGTCATTTCATCAGCACAGAATTTTAGCTTAAAAAATCTTGCATACTCCTTCTGTTTCCCTTGTTTGTTATTATTAAATTAAAGGTTATCCAGTATTCTGGGCTGTAGAATCTACCGTAGCATCGCAGAACAGAGCGTGTCCACAGTCCTTTGAGTATCCCAGGGGAGCTCTCCTCGCCTTCTCCGCTTCCTCTGTCAAATGCTGCTGCTCGGATAATTATTTTCTTTAGTCCCCGGGCGTGTAAAAAGCGGAGATTTTGGGCGGAGTCTTGCATGCACAGAGTTGACGGTGTGGCAGGGGACTGGCACAGCCGATGCTATCGTCACCTTCCGGCATAACAGGTCAGCTGGGGGATGTTCGAAAGCTGGAACAGAACTGTTAAAAAGCCGTAATTTACATTTACCCAACTGCCGACATCGTTTAAGACATTTGCTCTGTATGTGTTAATTATCTTGTGGTTCTGTCTGTGTTTTATATCTTCTGGTGTGCCAAAATATGATCATCTGCCAAAAAGTAATTTCGGATGTTCCCAAAAAGCGATTGCCCGTACCTGTAAAACACTTATTTGTTGAATTATAATATATGAAAAGTGTCTAATGCCTCACTCACGAATGGTATCAATTCATCTTGAGCTACAAACAACATTCTGGCTGTCACAAGGTAGAAGCCGCATCAGTTTTTAACACAGCAACTTTTATATATGCTCAAGAGTTAAACAGATATTTTAACTGGCCTAAAGGGCTGGATTGATTAAATTGTAGGTACAATATCATAAAGATAGCCTACAAGTCATAAAGATAAAGAACAGGCAATGTCTTTATTTTATATATAACCACATTGTGAATCCTGTTCGTTGAAGACTATATATATATATATATTTTATATATATATATTTATATTTTCCTTCCCCCCCCATATACTTTCACGTCCATTCCGAGAATTCTGGCAATTTCCCTTAAGGAACTCGGTGACATTTGTGAGTTCTTATAAGCGATGATTATTATTTTCTCCGAGGTCTGCATCAGATGTTATGAACTAGACCAGCAAAAATGCCACTTACTGCCGTTGGGGCTGAGTGGATGAAAACAGGACAAAGACACGGTGAAAGAGAGGCAGAGGTGAATAACCAATGATTAAATGCGTAAAGAGAGGCCTAAAAACACGCAGCGAGTGAAGAAACAATGCGTCATGGAAATCCCCCAGCAGCCTTGACCTATTGCAGAGTAAATAGAATAGAATAGAATGCTTTTTATTGTCACTATAAACATATACAATGGTATACCCGTACCTGTAAACATGGTATACCCGTACCTGTAAACATGGTATACCCGTACCGCAGACATGTTAGAAAGAAAGAAGAGTGAAGTCCATAGTTATGCAGCACTATATACAGATGAACAGTATTCAAAAATAACAAATATTCAAACATCGGGAAAAGAGTGTTATATATTTACCATTAATTAAGTATTGCACAGTAGTTATGGTAGTTTAGTGTGTGTATAGAGGGAGGTCCTTGGATTGGGTGAAGCAGGTTGAACAGGTCAACACCAGGGTGGGAGCTGTCCTCGATAGTGTTTGTTGCTCTGCTGAGGCAGCAGGATTAACAACTGTCCATCAGGGAGGGGACAGGACAGCCCATGATGCCAAGGAAGGATTGAGGGCCACCTGATCCAGCCTTAACTCTAAGCTTTAATAAAAGAGAAGTTTTAAGCCTAATCTTAAAAGTAGAGCGGCGGTCTGTCTACCAAATCCAAATGTTTTATCATTGAAACTTTTGCTCGTCTTTGGGAACCTGTGACGAATGGCTTCACACATTCATGTTTTCAGAGCAACATCTCGCACACACAGACACACTAAAACACACTCACATGCAGTCATTGAATGTATTTACTGTCTTGCTTTCCATACAGTAACTTCATGATTGACTGCATAGGGAACATCAGTAAATTGCACAGAAACATATAGTCCAATGAATGTGGGTATTAGGGAAATTATTTTATTTTAATGCAAAACGAAACACATATTCCAGGTTCTCTCTTAGTGGATACAGCTTTGTAGACTGGATATACAGAGAAAGCATGAAAATAAGAATACGATATGTTTATTAGTGACTCAAGCAAACCATGGCATCCCAGTGATATCCTCTGTTAAGAAAACCTCATCCTCTTACAGTGTGACGCTGTCAAGGTTCTTAAAAACAGACAGGGATACATTTCAATATTTATTGCTGTCATTAGTCCTATACAATTTTTGATTGACTCGTTTTACAAAGTGAAATAGAAAGCAATAGTAGCTAGCACACTTCATTCTCTCACTCATTACAGTGAATGACACATTTATTCTATGCCAGTGTTTTACTCTTAAAACAATTGAATCTTGCTCAAGGATATTTGGCATATAGATCAAAGCAGCAAACGGATCAAACTGCCAACGTTCCAGTCAGTAGATTACCTTCTCTACCTCCTGAGCTACAGCCACCCCACATAACAGAAGCACATAACATATGTACAAATACTTTTTTCCCTTCTTTGTTGTGCCTTAAATCATAGTTTGTACGATTACTTTTGAGTGGAAACTGACTTCAATAACATATCGTTTGATTTCAAATTCACAGAGATGGTTTACGAAGTAAAGTTACAACTTCATGTCACTTTCCAAACATTTACGGATGTAAATGTATCCGACATATGCTGGAAACCGCTGCTTTGGACACCTTACTACTTTTTATTGATTTTACAGTTAAGGACAAGTACTGGCTTTCTTAAACACACTGAACAAGTAAGAGCTAATAGCAGAAAACCTGTCTACAGAAGACACCTAGTAGTCTTTAAGTCCTTAAGACACAGGGGAAAGAAATCTAGATGCCAGACCTGAGTGATGTGTCTGGCCCTTCGGTTGATTCATCTACTTTTCACTGAAGCATCATCAGAAATGATTTCACTCGAACGGTCACTGTGTGGAACAGGGACGAAAGGCTGAGGGATGCCAAAAGAACTGGACTCAAAAATCAGTGACAACAGGTCTGATGGAGTGATGCATCCAAATGTGAAATTTCTAATTGAAATAGTTGTCAATATATATGGAGGAAGTTGAGAGAGGTACAGCAGTGAGTATAACAGCCATAAAGTTCTGTCATACAGTCTGATCACGAAAACGTAAATACCCACATCAAGGCTTACTGCAGTAAGAACCAAGGTCAGGTTAACTATTAATTTAACAGTATCTAGTGCATCTGCAGCAGTCGTGATAGCATGACACAGTGGGACACCGATTCTTAGAGCGCGTAAGTCTGTCAAAATCAGAGTTTGGGAAATATCCATCATACGTGTGTGCAGCTACAAAGAAGTCATTCATCAGGTTTTGCAGTTACCGTTAAAGCATGAGCTCACATCGAAATTGCAAAACAACTGGAAAGACTGTCCAAGTTTGTGGTACGTCACCAAACAAGAGCATGTAGCAGAACAAGCTGCGTGTCACTGTAAGAGAGGATTTGACAGGTTTTTCATTGTTTTTGCAACCCGCACACACTAAAACACTCAACACCCCTGACTTTCAGAAGCTTCCCATTATACCGGTTATACTTTCTGTAACAACATTTAGTGTGCTGTCTTTTATCAAGAGGGATGATTGGTGGAAGATAATGCATGTTTTAATAATCACTTAATTATTTCAGCTATTTTACAAGCAGATATGCTGACTTATCAACATCCGCTTTTCTTTGTCTGATATGACAAAGGTCTAGGTAGTCTAGGTATCATTCTGCAAAAGACCAAATAATTAAAATAATAAAAAATAATAATTATAGGCAGTTTGGCGATTATTAGAAATACTTATCTGCAACCACAGTGCTGTTATCCTCCACTGATTTCAAAGGGCAGCAAAGTTGATTCTCAAAATCAGAGAGTCATCTGAGTCAATTAATATTTTAAGTGACTTGTTATTTTTAAGCTCGTTTTCTGAAAGATTATGTCATAATTGTCCTGAAATTTGCTGTCCAAAGTCCACTTTGGACTTTGGGACTTTACTTCCATGGGCATATCATGCAGGCCAGTTACATGCAAATACCAAAGGGTCATTTATAGCTGACATATGAAATTATCTTGCAGACCAGTTATATATAACAGAATAGCAGAATAGTAACTGCTCAGCTGGGGTTCCAAGCAATTCAAGCAGGTACTAAAATATGACATCATACCCAGAGTGCGTGCCACCAATTGGCTGGTCAGTGGCATCACTCAGTGGGTTATTCACAAAAATCAAAGCTGCTATTTCTGAAATCCAGCAATGAGGAAAATGGCTACAAAAACCATGCTCTGTTCATCCAGTCTCACAAAAAACCACAGACTGAGCAACAGTTACATCGTTGCCTCGACATCCACCTTTGTTGTAGCATTCATGTCACATACTAATTATGTCACAGGACTCTCGTCAGCGTTGCTATGACGAAGACCACACACATTAGGTAGCACTCGATTGTAATGGAAAACCAATGGATCAGAGTCAAGTTGTGGTGGGTCAATCCAAGTAGGTACTAATGAAAAAGGAGCTTAATGGTATTGCGGGCCAGAAGTTTGACGCCCCTGGTAAGGATGCTTGATGTAAGATTTCAGGCTATAGGACAATGAAAACTGTTTTGTAAGGACATTGTGTTATCAAGTTGTGAAATGAAAGTGTGAAGTGTTGCCCTGATGGTAGGGTATGGAAACAAATTTCAAAATCCATTCAATACTTCGTGGACAGCATCAGCAGGATCAACGAAGCTGGAACCATTTTTTTGCCAGAATCTGGAGGTTTGAGTCGATGAGCGCCACTGAATGATGGACAATCGATTGCACTCGCTCCACTCCACAGTACCGAGGTAGCAGAGCTCCTTATCCTCAGACTTAAACCCTGCTGCCATAGAGTGTTTCAGAACACTTCAGGAAACCATTCTCTGTGAGACTGTATGCAACTCCACTTTCTTTAGCAGGTACGTACGTCCGTCACCATGCCAGAATATACCTGTTTCCAGGCAAAGTGTTAAAAACCCAAAAAGACACCCACCAGTGACAGGGGACCTTTTGCTGACTCCTGTCAGTTGTTCTCGTGTTAAACCAGATTCCTATGTGAACAACAATATGGTGAAATGTACATTTATTCAACTAGCATTCTCACATTCTCTTGCACAATCTTGCAATATCAAATACTCTCAGATCCATATGTTTTTCAAGGTCTTCTGAGCCGCTTTCAGGCCTTTTTTGCATAGTGAAATCTTCTACAATGATTGAACATGAATATCTCAAAGACTGTCAAAGATAACCTGCCATGGTTACTAGAATCAACATGAAAGTGAATGAAAATGGCATTTTATTTACAATAAATGCCATTTTCTTGTTGAAAAGTATTCTATATCCTTAATTTTGTATTGTAGTGAAATATTAATTAAATAAGAAAGTTATTTGAATTATTTGTGCTCAAATATGCAACTTTCCAGGACAGCTTGAAATTGTTTTTAATATTTTAAACAGCCATTTCACATTTTCTACCATGAACGTAAAACAGAGACAGTCGAACAGGAAGTGTTCTGAACGTTGGCTGTTTTGAAACAGAGTAACCCATGTGTAAATTTTTGCATCTCACAGTAAATGTTAGGCCCTGGCAGTGTCCGCCTGTGACCTTTTATTTTAACTATGTTGTTTATGTATTGTGAACGGTACTATTTTTATTCTTTACTCTTCTGAGAACATGCTTCCTAGTACAGGGCTCTATGGTCAGATGATTAGTGGTGGTATTCTCCAACGCATGTTCAGTTTCACGTCAAAACATGCCTCTAATTTTTCCACTACTCTTTGCTCTGCTTTGAGCTTGCTGGACCGCCCATCCCTTCAAACTGGAGAGCACTAGTTTCCTTTTGAGATCTTGAGTCTGTGTATTTAAGATTTTATCTTTGCTTATGGAAAAGAGACCCGAACCAGTACAAAATAGATTCTAACCAGTGTTTTTAATGAGCAGAATAACCCATTTAAAGTTCCCATTGATGAAATAAACCTTAAATCAGAGTACATATCATCTCAAATAAACAATACTTTGTTATGTATTTTACTCCATGATGTAAAACACTTCTGTACTTCATAGCAAGTTTCCAAAAATGTACAAGTGAAGATATTGTTTCAATCAGAACACTAAGTCATATATGAAACACAAAACTCACACCAAGTTATAGCTGAAGTCCATCTTTAAAAAAAAAACCCGTGACAATTTTTTATGCATTAAAAAAATTAATGTACATTTTTTACTACAAAGCACCCTAAACACGATTAACAGTAGTTCATTTATCCTTTTTCTCTTACTGTAAAGATATAAATCAACGTGATTTAACATTTGCTACTCATTAAAAGACATTTCAGTGTAATCAAGTATTAATCAATAAAACAGACAGATCCCGTAAACAAATGTAAATAATGACACTGAGCACTTTTATCCAGTTTAAGTAAACATGTTAATTCCACTCCTTCATGAATGCATACCTTCATAGCTACAATACACCGTGGAAGTGAGGAGTTTCAAGTGGAAGCTAAAAAATAATGTTTAAATTCTCAGGCACTTAAATGGAGCCAGGATGCAAAATAATGCTGTTAGTTCTGAGCTGAGAGCAGGTCTGAGAAGGAACAGATAATCTATCCCATGCTGTGAGACTTTTGTCAGTTACATCAATATATTTTGATGTGTCAGACATTCATTTGCAGAGTAACAGCAGACTGACTCCATCTTAAAGCAACATTTATGGCAGGTTTTAGTAACAGCGTTGGCGTGCTTGACTCATTTTGGAGCAAAAAAAACATGATTTTTTGTCAATACCTGTTTTTTTATACTGCAGGGTGTCTGGTGATTTCCGCCCATTACTTTTTACTGCGGGATGAATTAAGCTTGAGTCCAGTTAGTGAGATTCCTGGCTGTACCGTATTAATAATATGCACATTGCTAAGAGAGGGTAGGTGCGTTTCATTGTGCTAATGCATTTTCTCACGGCTCTCTGCAGCTTCTTAACTTTTCTCACACTATCAGCATGAGAAAAGTATGTGAGGTGCCAAATGAGTAGCCCTTCAGTTCTAAGTGCTATTAGTGCGTTAACACATCAGGTGCTGGTGATACTTGGAGGCTGGTCAGTATTTATGCATCGTGTTGCACCATTAAAGACTTTGCATAGGAAACATTTGTATTTATTTGTTCTATACATCTTGGTTGTCCTTGAGGTGCACATAAGGGATTTGAAGAGCAAGAGTAGCCACTAGAAAGCATCAAATAGCATCATTATCATCATGAATCAAGCCTTCAGGAGACAATGGTTTGATGCATATGCTTAAAACAATGTGGCATGCAACGGCCAATGGCCGGCTCTGTGTGTTTAATGTGGCACATCATAAATCAGGATTTTGGTTATGTTACATCATTTTGTCATAAATTATTTTGTCAGTGAGTCTGTGGACTGTTTTTGTGTGTGGTCTGTGCCTTTAAGAGACTATACATGTCCCTTGTCTGATTGGGTGAGCTGTTTTGGGCTGGCTTCAAAATGGCATCTGCTGATTGGCCCCCACTGTCAACTGGCCACTTCAAAAACTGTGTCTCCATACATCCCCTGACAGCAGCTGACACCAACAGCAGACCTAGTTTTGATTAGTTTGATTTCTTGCTTTTGACCTTGGTTTACCCCAGAGTTAATGGTTTCAGTTTTGGTATTATTGGTGTCCCCACTTCGGCCTCCGAAACAAGAAGAACCAGGGCAGGGTGGTACCGTTATCCGGTCCTTTGAGTAGTCCATTCTTTAAAAAGTCTGTTTTTATTCCTGTTTTAACAAGTCTTTGTCATTCCAGTTCTAATTGTTGTTAGGGTGCTGTGTTTTATCAGGCAACCAGCTGAACTGATAGGGTTCCCGTGGCACCAGGAGATCTATGTCAAGCCTCTTCTGTTCCTTTTCACTGTTCACCGTCCTGTACCCGAGCAACGACATGGCCCCTTTACACACTTCCTGGATTCGTCTGACCTTGCTGTGTGGCAGCATGGTGCGCCAAGCCTGGGAGACGTTGGTAGCGCTCCTCGACGTGATCTTGAAGGCCTCTTTAATAGAGCCTTTGCCTTTTCCGTGGGTCACCTTGTAGATCCATGTGGCCAGCTCTGTGGTCATCTCCAGACCTACAAACTGATACATGGCATTGATCTCCTCGAGTGGATTGCGTGCCATGTCCTCGTAGCGAACCAATTTGTAGCGGCCTTTTAGAAACGGAGGGGGCTTCAGGACCGCCCTCTCGTTGATACGCACATGGCTGCGACAAATCTCCTGCATGACCTGATACTGTACCTCTGCTTCCTTAATGCGTTTCTGTTCCAAGACGATTGCGTTATCACTCATAAAGGCCTTGGCTGACTCTTCCCTAGACCGCACAACTGCCCGTGGGTCTCGGACCAGGTGGATGATGCGGAGATTTAAGTTCGAGTCCTGCAAAAGTGGATAAAGTGATTCCAGTTCAAAGAGCCGCACATCTTTGTACACCACGTGAGAGTAAGAGTCACACGCCTGCTCTACCCCCTGCAGTCCCTCAGCACCACATTTCTCTAGGCACAGAGTCTGGTTGCTGAACTGATTACGTGGTGTAAGAGAACAGATTGGTGGTGAGCACAGAGCTCGACTGTGACTCCACATAAACAAAGACGACACATTGGGGTTCTCTGGAAGGTAGGACTCCATCACTGAGAAGTCACACGGGAACACGCTCCGTAAGAGATCCCTCACTGCCATTCGAAGTGCCCGTGCACCATTTTGCCTCAGCTGGGTCCACACATGCCAGCCAGGCTCCATAAGATAGAAGACAGACGGGTGCTGACTGAATACCTGGCCCAGGAAGGATGAGCCTGATCTCCATGATGACAATAATAGAACGTGGACTTTGTCATTGGAGGGTTGCGGGTCATAGAGGCTGAGCTGCATGTACCAGCCGCTGACCAGCAACAATGCTGCCCCAAATAGGATCACTTGGAACTTCATGGTGTTGCGGTTCACTCTGTAGTGCAACATTATGGCTGTGAGCTGCTGTCAAGTCAGTGGTGCTTTGTGCGAATTCTTCTCTCTTCAATCTTGTCTTAAGCTGTGTCTCTTTTGCTGCATAAAAAATACACAAATAATATTAATTATTTTTTTTATAAAATACCAATTTGTTTGCAAATCCTGTCTTTGCTGGAAAACCTGGCATGCCACTGGTTGTGAACCACCTTCTTAAACGTTTTAAATCACATGATACAATTTTGTATATGGTGGAGAAACTAAACCGAAACGGCAAACATTAACCAGTGATACTTTTTGTAAGGGTCATTTCATCAGCACAGAATTTTAGCTTAAAAAATCTTGCATACTCCTTCTGTTTCCCTTGTTTGTTATTATTAAATTAAAGGTTATCCAGTATTCTGGGCTGTAGAATCTACCGTAGCATCGCAGAACAGAGCGTGTCCACAGTCCTTTGAGTATCCCAGGGGAGCTCTCCTCGCCTTCTCCGCTTCCTCTGTCAAATGCTGCTGCTCGGATAATTATTTTCTTTAGTCCCCGGGCGTGTAAAAAGCGGAGATTTTGGGCGGAGTCTTGCATGCACAGAGTTGACGGTGTGGCAGGGGACTGGCACAGCCGATGCTATCGTCACCTTCCGGCATAACAGGTCAGCTGGGGGATGTTCGAAAGCTGGAACAGAACTGTTAAAAAGCCGTAATTTACATTTACCCAACTGCCGACATCGTTTAAGACATTTGCTCTGTATGTGTTAATTATCTTGTGGTTCTGTCTGTGTTTTATATCTTCTGGTGTGCCAAAATATGATCATCTGCCAAAAAGTAATTTCGGATGTTCCCAAAAAGCGATTGCCCGTACCTGTAAAACACTTATTTGTTGAATTATAATATATGAAAAGTGTCTAATGCCTCACTCACGAATGGTATCAATTCATCTTGAGCTACAAACAACATTCTGGCTGTCACAAGGTAGAAGCCGCATCAGTTTTTAACACAGCAACTTTTATATATGCTCAAGAGTTAAACAGATATTTTAACTGGCCTAAAGGGCTGGATTGATTAAATTGTAGGTACAATATCATAAAGATAGCCTACAAGTCATAAAGATAAAGAACAGGCAATGTCTTTATTTTATATATAACCACATTGTGAATCCTGTTCGTTGAAGACTATATATATATATATATATTTATATATATATATTTATATTTTCCTTCCCCCCCCATATACTTTCACGTCCATTCCGAGAATTCTGGCAATTTCCCTTAAGGAACTCGGTGACATTTGTGAGTTCTTATAAGCGATGATTATTATTTTCTCCGAGGTCTGCATCAGATGTTATGAACTAGACCAGCAAAAATGCCACTTACTGCCGTTGGGGCTGAGTGGATGAAAACAGGACAAAGACACGGTGAAAGAGAGGCAGAGGTGAATAACCAATGATTAAATGCGTAAAGAGAGGCCTAAAAACACGCAGCGAGTGAAGAAACAATGCGTCATGGAAATCCCCCAGCAGCCTTGACCTATTGCAGAGTAAATAGAATAGAATAGAATGCTTTTTATTGTCACTATAAACATATACAATGGTATACCCGTACCTGTAAACATGGTATACCCGTACCGCAGACATGTTAGAAAGAAAGAAGAGTGAAGTCCATAGTTATGCAGCACTATATACAGATGAACAGTATTCAAAAATAACAAATATTCAAACATCGGGAAAAGAGTGTTATATATTTACCATTAATTAAGTATTGCACAGTAGTTATGGTAGTTTAGTGTGTGTATAGAGGGAGGTCCTTGGATTGGGTGAAGCAGGTT